TCCATACTTTCTAAACTGCATTTGTTTCTTTTCTGATCTAAAATAGTGAACAAAAACTACTTTCATACATAATTGAAACGGTTTGCGACACTTATATTTTGTATCTTGACTAAAAAAAAGCTCTTAGCGGCTTTGACCAGTGGCAAGCCCAGGACCAAAGACGTCACATTTTGAGCGCTTTCGGTACCGCGGGTCGCCCTCGTCGGTGGAGGAGGTTTCCGCGTCGTCCGGTTAAAATATGACGCACTGATATTTAGTTACTCTCTCCGTGCCCGCTGGCTTGCCTTAACCCCGAGAGACGTGGAAACCGCAAAAAAGGTAGACGCTTAAATATGATTGCAGGGCCCCTTTAAGGGACGCAGAGCGTGATGAGTCCCCAGAACCTTTTCGTATAAGTTAACGACATTGCTGCGTCAGCGGATAAGAGTGCCGAGGAACAAATCACAAAGCAAGAAAGGTGATTTTAATAGACAAAACACCCTGCGAATATTAAGATGTAAGTTGCCATAGTAGTACTGAGAAGTAGAAAACGGAGACTCTGTGATATAGGCCATCACAATTAAAGTGCTCGATGGAGTGGACTGCTACACTCTAAGAAATGCCTGCACGTCTACTCACTCGTAAAACACTCAAAAAGCCAATCTCTGCGATCTACGATATCAGCTTAGCGAATGATCAGGCGGAATATCCGTTTAGACCGAAAAATGAAGTCAGCGCTATGGCATTACGCAATGCAAAGCGTCATGCTTGCGTTGCATAACGCCACAGCACAGAGTTAATTTTGAGGTCTCCGCCTCATCATTCGCTGAGCTGATTTCGTAGATCGCAGAGATTAGCTCGTCGAGTGTTTTACGGGTAAGTAGACGCGCAGACATTTTTAAGCATGTAGCACCGTCGAGGTGACGATTGATTGATTGACGGCTTTTTGATTGACGATTGTCGGCTTTTGAGATAAACATCTCCGAGCCTCGCCGCAAATGGCGGTTCGTCGCCGGCAACCCCTATGAATTAATGAACGTTCCCGCGTGAACTAAAGAAAGTGCATGTTGAATGCGCCATGACCCAAAAATGACGACGCGTCACAAATGACCAATCGGAACGTGGGTCGCAAAATCGAAGAGTAGAGGTACTTCACTATAAAAAAAGCCTGTGCGTCTGCTTCCCCGCACAACACTCGGAGAGCCAATCACCGCAACTTACGGAGGCAGCTCAGTGAATGACGATGCCGAAACAAATGTTTAGACCAAAAAAACGCAGTCTGAGTTGTGACATTAAGCAATGGAAAACGTCACGCTTGCATTGCTTAGTGTCACAACTCAGACTGCGTGTTTTGTTCTAAACATATGTTTCGGCATCGTCATTCGCTGAGCTGCCTCTGTAAGTTGCAATGATTGGCTCTCCGAGTGTTGTGCGGGAAAGCAGACGCAGTGTTGGATAGAAGTCAAAATATCCGGCACTTTTGTCCTTCCAACAAAGGATCCGTTTTGCTCTAACGGAACTGAGACAACAGAATGTATTGATTGCAGGCATTAATCACGTACCCGGGTCATTTAGGTCAATGTACTACAAAATTCAGCATGGTGGTCAAGGGCAGCCACTCGCCAAACTGTCTCCAGATGACGTTCGACTGAATTCCACTAAGCGTATACCTGCGCATGGCAGCAACCTTTCTCGGAAAAAAAAGAAATGACAATTTATAGAGTTTGATAACGAAACTCGGTCGAGGAAGGAGCACAATTCCAGTCGAGCCTCCGAAAGGGCGTATAGACGCCGAGGTGCTTGGGGGCGTGATAAACGTTCCCCTTTTATTGAACAGTCGTCTGGTCGCAATGATTACAACGATGAGCGCCATGACAATACACTCTTGGCGCTGCCTGACTAGACCAGTCAAATTCCTGTGTCGACTGACATTAATGTGAAATGAAGTATACCTCCACCAACGTGATCACACGCGAATGGCGCCAGCTCTGCAATTAGGCCCGAGCCCAACGCCAATCGTCGTTCGGCCGGTAGACTGGACACGACGCCCAGCTGAACCCGACGCCGTATTCATATGCAATTTTACAGCGAAGCTGTAAATGATTTTTTCGTGTCCCTCGACAGAATATCTACGCGCACGACTTATCACCGCTCTTGCATGCCTTATCATTTATAATGTCATTTTGACACTAATTGCAATGAGGAAACCACAAGGCAAGTGTAAAAACCACGTGATTGATTATGAGGCGTGAGCGAACGATGATAAGCACGTAGTGCTCCCCGCATGCGTCTCACGGCAAAGATTGCGGTTGCACAAGCTGCTGCGGCAACGGTAGAATACGAAGTGTGGAGTGACGTCTTTAGGTCCGCTAACAGTGCGAAGCACGTAGCACTCTCCGCATACGTTTCGCGGTAAAGATTGGGATTGCATAGGTTGCTGCGGCAACGGCAGCCGTACGAAGTCTTTACTATACAAAAATGTTTTGGTACAGTGCATTTACCTTTCTTTCGTCAATCATTTGGTATAGATCCTTTTGTTGTTTAAAAACATAAACTGCCGCTTGCGTGCCAAGCGACTTCCGGTGGCACCGTCTTTGCAAGCCTGTTAACTTTGAGCCTTAGTTATGTTAACCAGTACTATAAAGCATAAATGGAAAACGCACAACAAAGTTGGAGATTAAACGAGGGTCTTCGGCTTTACAATATTATATCTGCAGGGACGCAATTTGGTTTACAAGAATACTCAAATTATTTTAACATATCTCCCACTTTTTGGTGTTTTTTTTGCGTTTATTTCGTCAATTGACAGTTAAAAGTTTCTTTTACATTTCAAGCAGTGGTGTTTAGGTGGTCTCTGTTCATTGTTTTCATAAAACGGAAGTTCTTTGGCACGTCAAAGACAGGAGCACCACCTGGCGATGTTTGCCATAAAAAGGGTCTATAGTGCAGTGGGCAATTGTTGCAGGTGATACGACAGTTTCCCTGTCCAACAACTTTTACAATGTGGATTGGTGCCTTTTGTTTGTCATCACTTGATCACATTTTGATCTCGTTGAAATGCAATAGTGGTCTGATCATTTTAGGTGGTGTTGGCCAACTCCGTAACTTTCTGGAGTTCGTCGTCATGTTGTGCATTTACGGCGCCTCCGGTTTAAATCTAGTGTGGCGACTACGCCGTGGTTTTACAATGTTTTGTGCACGTGTTTCCTCTTACTATTTCTGTCACGATAGTATACGGTCGACGCTCTTGTTTAGTTAAAAGAACTATGCGTTCATTACGTTACCGTTTGTGCATCATCGTTGGCGTCCCACATGGTCATGCACAGAACCAGGCTCCTTTTGCTAATTTTGAAATTCTGCGGCAGAAACCTCGAAGCAGATGCACGTGCGCTAATTGCAAAGTTTGAAAACGAAAAAACAAATATGTTAGCCTTTTTAATGGTGATTTTTAAAACTATAATTGCAACATCCCTAAAAAAATATAATTCTTTTTTTTTAATTTCAGTTAGTTCTTAAGGAGGATAGTGTAGTTATATAGGGTATACATTCACCCGCAGTCCGTGAGCAGTGTCTTCTGGGTATGTAGCCATCGTTGCGTCTATGACACCAGGCAGGCACGGCCACACGGACCGGGCTACGCAGCGAGTCTTCTCTAGTGCAGGTGATGCCGCAATTTGCAGAGCGCGAGTGCGGTGTCGTGCGCGATGGTCGGCTGCCGCACCAAGACGCAGTCTAAAAGGGAGGAAATAAAATTACAGATTCCCGTTTCTCTCAAGAAAGGCACCCCCTAGTGCGAAAAAACTCGTCCGCTCTTCGTGAGATGGTCAGTGAGCAGGAAACACCGATCTCGACAAGTACCGAATATGTTGAATAACCTTTTTCTCAGGTAAGTTTCGGCGCAGACTGATTTTCTCCTACATTATTTGTTAAAATGCCGCAGCAGCGGGCTAGGCCTAGCCGCAGCCGAAGGGTTATTAATCGACATTGCTTCTCCTCGAAGCATCCCTAAGATTTCCCTTTCCGTTAGCAGCCAGCTAACGGATACGAAAGCTTCGGAATTGCTACGAGCGAAACGAATATGTGCTCATGAACTCACAAAAGCGACCTGGGGCTATAAAAACCTAAAACAAAATGCTTACAATGCGTGCTTAGTACTTGTCAAGACCTTTTTCGTTGGCGCACACGAGCCGTTCACGTGCTCACGAACCGAGAGCGGCGAAGCGGTTCACTTTTAGCACTCGTGTGTTCCTATATTCCCAGAATTTTCAAAAAACCAGAGATCCGAAATGTCGCTCTATTTTTTTTCTTTTTTTTTCCCCAATGCGTCTTGTTGTGGCGGCCGGCCATCACGTGTGACACCGTACTCGCGCTGCAAAGTGTGGCATCACTCCAAGCAGAGAAAGATTCGCTGAGTAACCCCACCCGTGCGGTCGTCGCTGTCTGTCACAGGCGCAAAGATGGCGATGTACACCAAATGCACTGCTCGCGGTTCATGCGTGAATTCTCCATAAACGCAACAAAATAATAATATAATGCAAAAGAAAAAAAACCTGATCGGAAAACGTATCGTGGTCCGTCATCGCCATATTTTTTGTATATATTTTGCTCGCTAATTCTGATCGTGACGCCTATCGTACCATCAAATATTCAATGAATTCCGGGACCAATAAGTTCACAAAACAATATTATGCTTCCAATAATCATCACTTATCTTAAAAATATTTTATATATTCATAAAGAATATGCAGATGCATAAAAACTGGTTTCAATTAAAACAATTGAAAACGAAAAATATATATTTCTTTTTTTGTGACCTACATACATGTTTTTTTGTTCGACCCCCAGCAGCGATTTGGGTAATATCCAATAGAGAATCTATAAAACTGGCAGAGCTCTTAATTTTCAGATGGTATATCTTCAATCCTGGACGCAGATCTGTAAGATCATTGCTCTACTCTCACCTAGAAGGAGATAGAGAAGTTGCCAACTAAGTTGGCAGCTCCCACCTCCAGTTCTCTCACCTTCGAGGAGCTGAATGAGTTCAGCCAAGGCCTCCGTCCGTCTCGAGTCCGTCTCCCCCAGTTCCTCTTCAGCAATCCGGCGAAGCTGGGGCGAAAGAGTTCCATTTTTCCCCCCACAAACTCTGTTTCCAAGATGCGACCCGCTCATCGTTGACGCTTTCACGTTCGTGAGCCGCGGCGCCGACTGGATCGACTTCGGCGGCGGCCGACTGGTAAAACCGGGGGAGAGGAGGAATGTTTATGAAGAAAGGCTGAACAGCGACACACCAGTAGTCCGTGAGTCTAGCTCAAAACATCACGGCCGCAATCCGAACAACTGCACGGTAAACCGGTTTCCAGCAGCCATGAACAACAATCCCGACAAAGACGTCCGGCAAAGAAGCCCTTGGGGGACCGATTCCACGGACCGCTGGTTTCTGCAGCGGCATTGGGCGAGGGCGACACTTTCCACGTGTTTTCCTCGACGATCGTTTGCGATGCGAGGTGGACATGCGTTTCACCCTGACATTGTTTCCAAGGTTGGTTGGAAACGAGCTCATCTTGATCGGTACCGTGCTTTGCGTGTAAGCCACGCTGCGTTTCAAGGTTTTAAGACACACTGGGAAATCCTCAAGTACAAAGAATCGCCGTCTTTAATGTTAGTTTCACACTTCCCCCTTTCACTTCGGCTCAAGTTAAATAAAACTGAGAACATAATATTATAAAAAAATGAAAGTAGGCCAGCTACCCGTATTCCGCGAAATATTTTATGCAGGCAGCTAAAATATAAAACACGCGGTGATCGAAAAACACGGCTTCAAATTCCGGCGGTGACAGATTTTGTTTGTCGGGTATTTTCTAGTTTATTTATTTTGTTAATTTAGTCATCTGCATGTTTGGAGTAGATTATCTAAAAAATCTCGAAGGGGCTATTTGAAGGCCTCGTACGAAATTTCAAGTCAGGACAGCTTTGCTTCATACCTGCGATGGCCGTGAGATAGGATGCAAAAAAATTGTTCATGAGAGTAAGCTTTTATTTTTGGACGTCATGCCATCCGATACTCACACTTGGGGAGAAAGCAAACAATATTTTTGTTGTCCAAGAAAAAAAAAGTTATATGAAAGACGCAAGCTATACTGCAAGCGCACGAAGCATAGATTTCGTGCTGTTACAACTTACTACGTATACCCTCTTTCACGGTAGCTCGGCTTTCAACGAAGCGTTACAAACATATTTATTTATGCGTTGAATAAAAAAAAAAATTCCAAGAAATATCCGTGCATGTTAGACTAGTAATTTGAAACTAACTAGTAATTAACTAGTAATTAACTAGTAATAACTGGTAATTTTATCCAAACGTACACGTCGCAAACGCAGAAGGCGTTGGCTATGTTCTCTGAGCAGCACAACTTGTATATACTACTTCGCGGAGTGTGTAAATTACGCTGAGTACTTCTTTAGCACAACCGGTATATGGATGGACGTGCGTTTAGTTGCACTCTGCTTTATTTGTGGCGGGGTTTCTAGGTTCTTTTTCGACATACTTTTTTTATGACTGTCCCTTGAAAACCTACATTCGCTACAGAACGGCGCGAAATAGAAATTAGTCCAATTGATATTGTCTATTTGGACGACCGGCATAGGATCTCTGTGAAACGAGCCATTCTAGATAATCATTTACAAAAGTTAATGAAGGAATTTAATGTCACAAATTTGCTTCTTAAACATTACAACGCGTGTTCTGAAGTTAGCCGTAGTCAATCGCGTTATCTCAAAAAAATATTTCATCAACTTAATTTTTTTTATGCCGATTTACGCAGGTAATTTGATTCAAAGTTTCGAGCGGGGACCGATCTCTATCAGCTAAAAATGCATGCATACAGCACGTGCGGGTTTTTATATTCATCGAGGTAAACAGCGTGAATCAAGTCAAATACCCTAGGAAACAAAAATAAAGACGCGAAAATAAACAATAACTTACAAGTGCACGTTACTCAGGTTAGATTTTCGTAAAATAAATAAAATCAAAATGAAATTTGACACGGGTGTCTTAGATTTTTTACCCTCGTGGATACGCTACCTCATTGACGTCACACTTCAGAGATGAGTGCGATGACTCAGGGGTGGGGTGCGACGAATGAATTTCTGATTTTACTCTCTAGATTTACCCGTGCAACTGTTTGAACCGCTCTTTAGCGCTCGTTCAGTTTTCTCAAAAGCATTTCCCACGAAAGACGTTATTTTATTATTATGAGATCTCGAGGCTTTCAAAGATCAATTATTATTAGTACGTGTATTATAAGTGGCACATTTTCGTCACAAATTCAGTATAATGTATTTTATTATTTTTCATTTTCTCGGAAATAAATACAGTGTGCTATAGATCGGAGCGGTGCCATCAACCGCAATGGAACCGTCCAGGGGCCCTAATCTGGACCCTTGGCGAAAAGGTCGGCGAGATATCTGGCGGCCATGATTGGACAACGCCGCACTTGACCTTGGCGCCAGCCAATCATAGCCGCCGGTATTTTCGCCGTCTTTCTCGCCAAGTGTCCAGATTAGGGCCAAAGGACACGCTTCATAAATTTTATTCGGGCGACTTCGATAATTCTTGTCACTTGAATAAATTACCATGTACTATATACTTCATGGTAATTTGTGCGTATGGTAATGGTTATTGTGTGCACGTTCTGTAGTCACTAAAAGATTAGAAAACGCAGTGCGTGACCTAATATCTCCACGCTTCTTGCTTCGTGGCTTTTTCATCCATGTTCTCATTGGCAAATACTGCATTCTTAATGGCTGTAGAGAGATAATGCCACGTTGAGGGTCGTCTAATCCCGAGTTTCTGAATTAAGATGACAGTGGCAATACTGGTTGATGCAAAAAACATTGGGGCGAATCAAACTGAAAAGTATGCGGTGCATTCAAGACGTCATTGTAATCCGACGTCTTGAACGCACAAGCCCTGTGCATTAAAAACGTCCCAAGCGCTGTGTCGACGCTCGTCTCAAACTTGGGTTCGATCTGTCTGTCGGAAGGCACCGCAGTAGATGCACCCAATACATATTATACATCTTTTTCACAAGGGCGCAGCCATTTTGAATGTTTTCACTTCTGGTGTGCGGTAAAACATCGTTTTGATCTCTCCACGTGGCTTTAACGTGTGCACGCAAACTGCGTGATTGTCCCACATTCTTGTTTTTACACACCTATATTTTCTCTTATATTCCAGGTTGAAATGTTTTAATATTTTTTCGTCCCGCACACCAGATACAGAACCCACGTGACTAAGACCGATAGGAAACAAAAAACGTCCATAGGAAGTTTGAACGAAAGCAATGTTACCACACGCCCTACAGAAGGATACCTGCTCCTCTATCTCGCCAAAACTAAAACTTTCAGTCACTACATTATAATGTGCCATGATTATTGAAGAAGTATATCACAAACAACATAAACACGTTAAATAAGAAGACCTCCGCCTGTCCTGTGTGTAGCTTCGCGTAGTGAGATTTTGAATTACATGTTTTTGTTGTGATCTTTTTTTCTTTTTTTTTTGTGTGGCATGTGATTTTGAGTGTCAAAGCGGCTGCCAATGTAAAGGAATCCCAGAACCAGTCAAGCTGTTTTCTAACAGCTTTTTGTCTGGCGACCCTTCCAGTTTTCTGGAAAAATATACATTTGATTTGATTTGATTTGATTCACTGAAGAAGTATTCACTGACGGCCATAGTTGTATGTGCGACTGCTGAGAGCGTGCTGATTGCGAGCTTCCACGGTTCCTTTGCAACGTGCATTCTACACCATCAGGATTGCCGGTCTTAGTAGCCTATGAATGTGGGCTCGTTGTGAGCGTGCGCTCTAGACAGCACCCTCAAATATGGCGCCCTGTGAGTACTCCTTATAGCTGTGTGCGCGACTACTGAGCGTGTGCTGACGGCGAGACTTGTGACTAATCTGACTTGAGACTTGTTGTTTTGTCCGTTTTTTTTTTATTTTGCCGTGTCTCCGGTATACGACGGAAGTTTTTCAGCAGCTCGCCTGTACTTTTACCTTTTCTTTGCTGAAGGTACAGTGTTCTAGAGGGTGTAGTGGCAAGAGCGGCGCCCGCTTACAATGAAGCGCGTGAAGACGGTCGACGTAGATACCGCGAGTGGCGCTGGAGTTCTGTGCCCTAGGAGAATTAATGGCACGTGTGCGATGAACGAAGAAGACGACGAGGGTGACGAGGTACGCTTCTCCGAAATGTAGCACCGTAGAACCTCTTTCGCAGCTATTAAAGGGGCCATGAAACGAATTTTGGGATGGGATGAATGATTTGAAATTGCGACTTTACTAATCGCATATCGTTTAGTTGGCCAAAAGAAAGAGGCTAGAAAGTCAAAAGCCAGCTTTTCGGTACGAACATTTGAAAATATAGAGGACTATTTTGTACCTTCTTGCCTTCGAAAGCTCTCCGCCTTTTCACTATGATACATCCGCGGTTCCAAAAGCGCGTCACCGGCGCCAAACTGACGTCAGCAGAGCCCAGCTCACGCATTGGACACGAGAACTGCGTAACTCGGACGTATGCGCTCGTCAACAATCAATCCGTCGACGAATATTTCGATTCGCGTTCGTGGCCAATGAGTGCCCTCACGGAACTTATTATCACTGGGGAATGACAAGTTCTATGGTGTGCATAAAAAGCACGGTGGAAGCTAGGAGTCATCGCACCGGTGCCGAAGGAATGTCACGACCACGTGATTTCACAATTCGCATTTGAGTTGAGGATTAAAGCTAAGGATGAAGAAGTAGGAAAATCGTTTCATGACCCCTTTAAGCCTGCAGCCCAACTGATAGCGTTGCTGAACGATGTGTCAATACTGGGGGGGGGGGGGGGGGGGGGGAGTCGATATTAATTAAATAATCTCCCTCAAAACACGGGAATATTTTAAGTAGAGGATAGCACACACTCTAGAGGCATTAGTCCATAGGCAGAAGTACAGTTTACTATACTTCGTTTGGCACATTGATACTTTAGACCCATGTTGTTGTAAAAAAAACTATCTCCAAACTCCGGTCTAAAAACATGCTTTTCGTGCAAGGCTGGTCAAATTATGAGGCGCTGGAGAAATGCAGCCTTCTGCGTTATGTCCTTATTTCGAACTCTTTTTGTTCGCCTTC